ACCCTGGTGCTGGGCCTGGGGACGAGGGCCACCTGCTGCCAGGAACGGTCTGTTGGCAGCTGGCGGGGGAGCAGAGGGCGCCTTCCGGCCAGTTCATGGACGCAGTGAAGTCGCACAGGGAAACTAAGTTCTGAGTAAATGACTTTGGCAACAGTCCTGTTCCCCGCTCCCTTACGTGTTAGCGACTCAGAGCCTCCCCTTGGCGAAGGTGCACACTCACCCGGACCAGCACGTACACCATGACGGCAGACAGGACACAGCCAGAAGGCCCAAGGACAGAGGGGTGCTGGACACGCGGTCCCGGGGAGCGCGCGGGCTGTCGGTTAGCGTGGTTTTGGGTGGTGGTTGCTTTTCCCCACATAGGCATGTATATTAGAAGGGAAAGGAAATGCTTGGGGAGAGGGTGGGCAAATGGGAGAGAGACGCACGTAGAGCAGACGCCCCTCAGGACGCCCTGGTCTCCCGCGGGGGCTCTCTTCCTGGACGGACAGTCTGCGGCCCCGCCTGGGAACGCTCGTTCCGCTTGCAGGACGGGGTGTAGTCCACGTTAGCGAGGGTCAGAGAGGAGGCTGCTTGATTTTCAGAATTGTATACAAAACAACGCTTCCTACGGCACACACTGAAGGACTAAGTGAAGGACAATCCGAGAGTTTCAAGTACTGAAAACACCTGAATCCGATGAGGCAGAGGTCTGTTAAAGTGACAACGTCGTACCCACCCCTCACCCTGTGACAGCTGACTCCCGGGAGACGTTGGTGAGGCTCAGGACGTACAGTTCACAACCCCTCGGGACCTGGGAACTCACGGCAAAGCCGGCTCACTACCCCGTCTCCCTGGAAACAGGAGCAGGTCTACTTTCTTTCTGTTTTGGAGAGGTTTTTGCTATAGGGCGCGTGCGCTCACCAGAAACACAGAGACAGAGAGCGAGAAATCACCTCCTAGGGGGGATGGCCACACCACAATCCCTTCTCCTCCATTCTCCCCTCAGGATCTTGGGCACGCATGCCCAGTGTGAGTTTAAGCCACCAGGTCCAGGACTCGAACCGCGGTCAACTACATGGGAGTCCAGCGACATAGCCATTACGCTAACTGCTGGCCCCTACTTTCTGTTTCTTTACAAACAAACGGAGAGCCGTCCCAGTGGGGTGGGCCCAGGGCGCCCGTCCTCTGGATCCCATCTGCAGCAGTTTTGACGGCTTGGGGGTGGCAGTATAGCAGCAGGGTCAAAAGGGACTCAGGTCAGGCCTGTACCTCCGGCCATAGGGCACTGTCCTCTTGTCCTCCACCTCAAGCACAAGGATGTCCCACCTCAGCTCTCCCAGCTGTGAGGGCTCCACGTAACTCCTGTCCTTACCTGCAGCAGGCAGCACCCTGGCCGCAGGGCAAACGCTAGAGGGAGAGCTTTGTATGTAAAAACGAGATGAACAGCACAGGCCCTGGGAGCCCAGCATGGATGGCACTGCTTCCAAACTGCAGGCCTGGACCTGTCCTGGCTGGAACCCTGCAGAGGGGAAGCTGCTGCCGCACCTAGGAAAGGCATCCAACAGCCCATTCCGCCCGCGAGGCCTCTGCGCCAGAGACTCGCCACCCCAGTCCCTCAATGCCGTTTACAGCATGTTCCCAGCATGTTCTGCGGACAGGGCGGGCCGGGGCGGCCTTCCCCCATCACTGCTCAGTGTTGAGAGATGACTTGAACACGTGCAAATCTTCGAGTTTCAGTGATCCTCAAACCCGAGCAGAATCTGTTCTGTTCCTCAGACAGAGCTAGGACTTGTTAAAAACAGAAATGAAAGTAGGACTCACGGCACTCCTGCGTCCAGTCCTGATCAGGCTTTACGGAAGGGAGTGGGCTGGCCAGGTGGTGTGGAGGTTACGGCAGCTGGGCCCCACGTGAACACTTTGGGAACATGTGCCTATGTGCCTTGAATCCCGAGAGGAGAACGGAGGAGAAGGAACTGTGGCATGGCCATCCCCGCTGGAGGGGGTGGTGGTGATTTCTCACCTTCCCTGTCTGTCTCTCTCCAGCAAGTGCATGTGCCCTATAGCAAATTAAAAACGACAACAACAAAAACAGTGAATCACAGCCTTGCACTGCTCCTGCATTCGGGAGTGAAGCCCCCCATACACACACACACACACACACACACGCTCCCCGGCCCAGCCTCAGACAGCTCTGCCGACGGCTCCTTGCAAGGCTCCTCCTCCGTTCTGGTGCCTGTGAAGGTCGCCCAGGACTTGATCTTCCGTTCTTTCCAATCCAATTTCTGGTGCTCTGTGCCAATGATCAAGTCTCACAATCCTTCCTCCACAGGATTAGCATGAGGTTCAAGAAATACCTCCACTGGGCCAGCCCTATGGCCTAGTGGTGAAGATAGCTGGATTCCACATGGCTAATTGTGGTTCAAATCTCAGCTCCTGCAGCTTAACAAACATGGCGGGGGTGTGGGCGTGCACGTGTGCCTCAACTCCTGATACGGTGGAGGAACGGAAAAGGGACTGCAGCACGACCCTGCTCCAACTGGGGAGCCTTCTCCCTGTCGATCTGTCTCTGGCAAAGTAAAAAAAAAAAAAAAAAGCAACACCCGAACGGTACCATTATGCTGTGCTGCTTTAAGTTATTTCATTTTGGACAAGAACAGCTCGCTTCTGTTCTGAGCGTACACAGATGTAAAGGCTAACACCAACTGCAGACGGGGCGGGCCTGAGTGGTCTGGGTACTCCTGGTGTAGCGCAGGCGAGCTCGGGCCGCCTGTGTTCCCACGCACACACGAGCACGACTTCTGGCCTTATGACCTGCCACCACAACACACGGAAGAGGTCACACGGGCACTGGCAGGGCTACCACCACTTTTCAGTCCACTAAAGAACACTCAGGCCAGCTGGTGTGGTTAAGGCGCTGATCCCACGTGGCTGACTATGTAGTGTGAGTCCCAGGCCTGGCAGCTTGGGAAAGCACCCTGGCTGCACGTCTGTGCACGCCCAGACTCCCAAACAAGGAGGAGTATGGTGTGGCCACCCCTCGGGGCGCCTTCTCATTTCCCCTCTCTCTGTCCCTCTCCATCCAACACGTGTGCCCTACAGCAAAATTTGGGGGGGACATCCTCTTCGAGAAGAGCTGTGTTAGCTATTCCATTCTCAACCCTGATTTCTGAAACGGTGGAGCAATCCTATTAGTCATCCAAAAACAAAGATTTTTAAAACCCCCAGCAGAGCACTGTTACAGATAGAAAAGCGACACGACGAGAGGGAGGAGTCGCACAAACAGTGACACCGAAGGTATCTGCAGTGTGCAGGCTGTACCCTGGCTTACCGTATAAAACCATTAGATACTAAATAGCGTTGTGTCCAAAACAAAGCAGGGGAGGAAGTCTCGTGTTGAATACTGCTTCAACAAGAGCTGTATTTGCAATATTAAAGAAAACCCTTATGTTAGTAAGTTTAGAAAACCAAACATTTATCATATATATATGTATATATATAAAATAAACTTTTAGTATGATAAAACCTAGATTTTTTTTTTTTAAATCATTTGTTAAAAGGACATGGAACTACATCATTTGCTTGGGAGCAACATTAGCGTCTCGGGGGCTGCCTTCCTGCCACTGCCGTGGGCCGAGCGCACGC